TTTGTGAAACAGCTACAATCCAACTTACTTGCAATTACTTTTATCTTTTAAGAATGTGCAAAATGATACAGTCTATAAAAATAGTAGGCTCCACCAGCAATATCAGCATTCAAGAGAGTAAAAATAAATGCTTTTTGAGGCATGTGATCTGTGGTTAGCATCAGAATTAAGTAGGGTGTAAGTATACATACATTCTCTTCTGGAATATATTTGAATTGTCTTTTTGTTATGAAGTGTAGAGCAATCTTTCACAGCAAAATTTAAAATCTGAAATGTAGGGAGGACCTCTGTAAAATACTTGTAGCTGCCAATTATCAGATGAAGAAGCTGACAACCTACACTGGAACATCTTCATCCTATTTAAAAGACCTTTTGCTTGCAAAAGTTACTGATTAAGTTTTAAGCCAAGATTTAAGCCCCACAACACGGGGCTTATTTGCAGATGTAAAAATTTGTCTCGTCTTTACAAAGAGATTACCATCATTAGCTAGGTCTATTCTCCCAAGCACTCTAATTCTAAACCTCCTACACCCAGCTCGTCCTGCAGAAGGAAGGAACAGGAGCAGCCTCCATCAGTACACACACAGAATTAGGGTACAGTATGTTCCTTGAGGAACTTGCACGCTTCATTTTCAGCAAAAAATGCGGGAAATAGAGAGTGCTCACCATGATGTCAGAGAAGGATGGATAATTTCTCTCACTGGGCCAATAGTCTATTTGTTTAAAACAATCAGTTTCATCAATTAATTTAGTCAATTTTATTTGCAATTTGAGAGGGCATTAGACTAACAGTTTCAGCTGAATAAAAGGAAAAACTCACTTCCCTTTGCCTGTGAAGGCAATGGCTACAGTGTTCTCCCAGGCTATGCAGAGCCAGGTTCAAAATTTCATCTGCCTGATTCACTAATGCTGGTTTCCTTAATTTAGTCCTTTATTTTTATCAAAAATTTCTGAAAAGGAGCAAAACTATTTTTTTCAAGTCAATTTACAATATTATTTATGTATCTAGTAGACAAAGAGATTTGCACTGTCAGGAAATACAAATGTTCTCATTTTCCCATCTGTTTCATGCTTGAATCTTCCTCCAACTGGTGACGGGAAAACAGCTTCTCACTACCAAATGCTTCTGCTAAGTGTGTATTGTCTTCCTGAATCATGTTCACTACACTCTCTGAATTCTAACTGAATATAATACTTAGCTCTCCTAATATACAAGAGTTAATTAGGTGATCAAGATTTGCTGTTTTTTAAAAACGGAGCAACTCCAGTTAATAAATTGTACCAGGTTAAATGCTGAGCCTCCTGAACTTGCAAGTGGCATAACTGCTATCATCCCCTTAATAGGAACACAGATACATGACCAGGATAAGGCATGGGGATGGCTATTCCAGCTGCTGCTTTTCCTTCTGGACCTCAGAAACAAGTACAGTAGCACTGTTTAAAATGAAAATGAATGAAGGACTGTAATGAAAAGGACTGCTGCTAAAACGTACAAACTGAATTGTCAGATGCAAGTGATGACACACGTAATCACTGAAGAAAACTGCAGCAACGTTCATGTAATATAACAGGCCAACAAATTGCTTAGAAGTCTACCTGAGAGTGAAACAGGTTAACATCACATTCATATAGCTAGAGAAGACAGTAATGTGACTGGGGCCTCATATTCTCATGCTGCCCAAATTTCATTGAATTTGCTGAATTTTGCATATAGGAGGAATTCAAAGTCTTACTGGACTATTACATTACCAACACATCTGAAGAACTTCTTCTCTGTACCTACACGATGGGGCCATTAGTACCAGGTACTTTGTGCAGTCACGTACAAGAGTTTAAATGAGATTTGGACTGAAAAGATGTTGTACAAGCTCCCACTGTTTTTTGCATCTGTTCCTCTGTGCTCTTATGAAAATAAATATAGAGAACGTCTTAAAAAAATACAAATCTAACTAAGCCAAGGGCCAGACTGCACACATTCAAAAAGGAAAAATACATCTAATTATGTACAAGGTTGCTATGACCACAGGGAAAAATGCCAATATATTTTCAGTGCTTGGCCCCACTTTTGGCTTGGCCCTCCATTTGGCTCATCCTTATTCATGAGTAAATCTGGTAAAAAAAAAATTCAAGCAATATTTCTTCTGATGAAAAGATGATATTTTTATTGAAGTGTTCTGCAAACATGCTGATTTTCATGAAAAATTCCAGCAGGAGGAATAAAAGAATGAAAACGTTTTCGGTCAAGAATTTATGCTTTGGAAAACTAATTTTGGTCAGGAATTTTGACATTTGACTTCAAATGTATTTCTTTTTGTACTTAACTAATTTCACAGCAGATCATTACTAGTGGTGCATGTTGCCTTATGCGTTATGACATGAGGTAAATTTTGTGTCACTTTGTTTAATTTCTACACAAAAGGTCCTTTGACCTAGAAAAGAAATTAGGTATGTATACTAATAGTAAATAGCAGCTGACATTAACTATCCTTTTAAACTACCTCTAACAATGTATATAAATTACTATGTTATTCATCACTATTGTCATTATGAAATACTGTGAAAAATCTGTACAGGAAAGTAAAAAATGAAATTTTGTAAGAATAAATACTAGAACACCAAAATAAAGTTTCTCAGAAATCTGGAGTGAAAGTTCCCTAAAACCATAGATGAGTTTCTGACCAGCTGAAATTTTTTAAAGTGTTTTCTGTCATTCCAGATGTGAAAACTGAATCCTAAAGTACCTGACTGTCCTACAAAACAAAATCCACCTCGAGGCACCCCAGGATTAGTCAACACTTGCAGGTTTCCTGTCATCCCCTTAACAGCCTCAACCTCAAAATATTAATGAATCTTAAATTAAAATGTGTTCTGCCAAGGTTAATCTCAAGTGCCTGCTGGAAGCACACCTCGCTTACCAGGAGTGACAGGGATGCTGCTCTTCCCCTAAGATTCACCATCACGGGTGGGCGATGCTGCTGGTCCGCCTCAGAGCGTGGCAAACCTCGGAGGGGCAGGACCACCGGCGCACCGCGGCGCGGGCACGTCCTCAGCGCGGAGCCGCTCTGCTGAGCCCCACGCCCCGCGCCGGAGGTGCTGCCCTGCACTTGTGCCTACAGACATCATGAACGAGAGCTCGCAGGGTGGGGGATGGAGCCCTCCCCTCCCGACCTTGAAGGTTAGACCTTGAAAACACATGATTGCGTGGGAACTGATTTTTTTTTTTTTTTTTTTTTTAAAAGCATGGCAGCTCTAGCAGGCATAGATGTAGAAATGATTTGAGAACATGAACCAAAACAACCTAGAGTGCGATGCAGCGATTTGGAAATGCTTATTCATAGTTGGTGCTAGATTGGGATGGTGAATACCGCTCAGGATTGTGCAGGAGGACGAGGGAGGGAGGGATCGGCACAACCAGAGCCCAAAGGTCAGAAATACCTCAGGAAGGATGAAAGAAAGTACAAGTGGGACTTGGCAGCCGGACAGAGTCCTGCTTTCTTTGCACAGTGGCCTGCCGCAGCTGGTGGAGCCTGTGAAGTCCTCATCCATTACATACAAAGCAGACCCATTTTGCTCAGACAGATTTGGGGACATGCAGTGACCAGCAGGACAGTCACACATGTGCTGCTTTATGCAGCTCCTACTCTGGCGTTTTCCTTCAGTAACTCCCATTCAGCATAACCTTGTTCACCCCAGTGCTCTGCTCTGAAACCAGAGAAACGCTGCAGATTCAATTGAGTACCCTCCTTCCCTGCAAAGCCCGCACACTGCCTCTCTCCAGAAAGTGCTGCGTTTTGCTGCTGTGTGCTACAGAGCTGCTTATAAGCGGGCTCTTCCTCACCTCCACAGGGAGAGGAGAGAGAAGGTACGGGAAGCAGGAGAGGGAAGTCTATCCCCACAGAGACCTTCCCAGGGTCTATAAGGATGCTAACACTCTGAGAACTGGGCAGCAGTGTGACACCTTCTCAGGCGGCTGCAGCTGCTGGAGGGACAGATGCACGGTGCATCTGCAGCTCTCTGATATTTGTGGCAAACAGAAAACACTCTGAGAAGAAGTGGACAATCTCTGTAACACTTTTCAAAAGCATTAACGTGCCTTATTGTATTTTTAGTATACGTAAGTGGCCCCCTGCCACACGCAGGCATGTACACACATACGGAGCACAGTTGCCTCAACAGAGTAACCTCTCACAAGAAGCAGCGTTCTCAAATGAAACATCTCATCTGTGGGGATGGGACTAATCAGAGGGCATCAGTAAAGGGATATGTGTGTGCTCATACTTTCTGTATATTTCTGCAAAAGCACATCTATTGTCAACTGTTCTGGACATTTGTCATCATTAAAACAGCTTTAAAAGTCTTCTGAAAAACAGATGATGTTTCTCAAATACACAGCTGAAAAATGAAAACTGAGAGTTGGATTCATCTTAATTTGAGAGGCCTCTGACGAAGTCTCCCCCAGAGCTGGTTGCTGAAGAAGTTACTCATTCTGAGGGTATGATTCATATATGTAAATGTAAACGTCTTTCGGGTGGCATGAATCCAGTTGATCTCACTGATTGCAGTGCAACTGAGGCAGCTATAGCTCCAATGCACTCCTAGACATCCAGGTCAGAGGAAGCTTCTCTCACTGTATCAGTGACTAGCGGCCAGGATACGGCAGTCAAAACCACACGCACCCTCTCCAGCAAAGACTTTGAGGTGGCATTTGCAGCAAGTTACTAAAACCTTTCACTGGGACATCAGCAGGACTTGCCAGGGGAGATGCTGAACGTGAGAGCGATGCGACCAAGCCATCCGTTCCCCCGTGCGTGGGGTGGTGGAAATGCCGGGGTGGGTTAGCACAGAGCGGAGGGGGGGAAGCGAACAGATGCCGCCGCTGCTGTCCCCGCGCCTGACACCAACACGCGTGTGTGTGTGTGTGTCCCCCCCCTCGCTCTCCCCGAGCCGCGGCCACGCGTGTGCCCCGCGCACCCCCGCCTCCCGCCCTCCGCGGCGCTCACCTGAAGCAGGTGGTGAGCTCGCCCGTGGGCTTCAGGCAGGGGTAGCGAGTGGTGGCGATTTTGTTCTCGGAGCACACCTCCCTGCAAGGCGGGTTATTAAAAATAAAGGAGGGACATAAATAAATAAATAAAGGCGGGGGGGTGGGGGGCAGTGAAAAGCAGATAACCGCACGGGGGTCCGCGGCGCGGGGGCAGAACGGGGGACGGGACACCCACCTGTCGCCGTCCTGTGGCTCCTCCCGGTAGGTCCAGGCGTGCCCCAGCGCCAGCAGCAGCAGCAGCCGGAGCGGGGCCAGGCTGCCGGCCGGCCGCCCCATCGGGCCGCCGCTCCCCTGCGCGCCGCGCCGGCTCTGCCCGCCCCGGCCGCCTCGGGGCTGCGCCGACCCGCCGCTCCTCCCGCCCCGGCGCGGGGCCGCCCCCCGCCGCCGCCAGATGTGCCCGCGGGGAGGGGCCGCGCTCGCCCAGATGTGCCGGCAGATGCGGCCCCCGCGGCGGGGCGGGGCGGGGCGGGGCGGCGGCCAGATGTGGCGGGGTCGCGGCAGATGTGCAGTGGGGGTGAGAGGACATCAAACAACATCTGCCCCCAAACACCCTCGCCGGTGCTCTCCCGGCCCGCCCCCCGCCCCGGCCGCAGGGAGCACGGGGAGATGGCGGGGGGGGTGTGGGGTGTGTGTGCCCGCCCCAGGGCAAGCGGGGCAGAAAGGGAGGGGAAGGTCCGAAACCACGGGTGTGATCAGCGGCTCTCGGTGCACCATCACTGATGCTTTCCAGATTCGGCTTTATCTTAAATCTCTTTCCCCAAGGAGCAGAGCAGTTCAAAGCATCTCTGTTGCGATGGCTGTTTATCCTTGCGTACGGCTGCCACTTCCCCACCATTCATAAAACGGAGATTAACAACAACAGACTTTGATAAAGTAGAGCATCAGGTCTGGGCTGCTGTACCATACCCTGTTTTCATGATTAAACTGCCTGGGACCAAGGGAGCAAACCTGCAAAACGACAATGCCTTTGCAAAGTGTTTGGCCAATGTGCTGGCTTTGATCACCATGTAACTTCCTACAAGTATGAAAGGCTCCAGGGAAATGAGGGTGTGCAAATCAACCTTACTAGCACTTTCACCTGTAGTATAAGTAAGTTTTAAAGCCAGAAAAATCGGGGAAATGTGGGCAACAGATTGTACTCATATATTATTACAGCCAGAAAAATCAGAGATATGCAAGTAACAAACTGTAACTCCCCTATTAAACCAGACAGAAGCAATAAAGGTGTGTAAGAAGGCTAGAGCAACTCCCCTTCTGATTTTGGCCCTGCCACAGGCAACATTTTAACAAGTCGCTTCACCATCCTGTGCCTCAGTTTCCTCTGTAACAGGAAGACCCTAGTAGCAAAGTAAATAAATAAATAATGCAGATCCCTACACATGAATCAGCTATGATTAAGCTGTTAATCCCTTTGGTATGTGTTGTCCAGTACCCAGAAGAAGGCTAATGATAGATGGACTCTTACTTGGGAAACTCTGGGACTTGTCAGCAGCTTTCCCTGGCTTGTGCAGCATCTGCTGTCACCACGGACTGCTGTGCATGCTGTGAACGGCCAACTTCAAGGTATTTCTCCACTCTAGGTGACACTGCATATTCTCTCTATTCCTCAGTTAAGCAAAGGAGTTCTGCATGGCAGATTTTTTTCCCCTGGCTTGCTTTTGCTTTTGCTATTGAGAGAATGCTTTAGATGTTTATTCCATCCTAATTACTTTTCCTTTATACAAATAATGAGTAAGCAAAGACAGGACTTGCTGTCTTGCAGCCAGAGAAAACTGTGGGTGTTTCTCGAAGGGCTAAGCCCTTGTCTCTCTGAAGCCTCTCTTGATTCAGAGATAAGAGGAACAAAAGCAGGACCTGGGTGCTTGGACCCAAGGGCTCAGGAGACACCTGTCTGCACATCGTGTTCTTTACCCTCCTGCCCCAAGTGGAAAGTATCCAGTGACAAGGTCTGAAATGAAGAGAGGTTTGCACTGCTGCAACCACTACAATGTCTGTCTGTAGATAACAAAGGATTTAATTTACCACATTCCAGAAGTGGTCACAGTCTCTCCAAAAACCTGATTTTTTTAAAGAAATTGAATCATACTGAAATCCTTTGGATGATTTCCAGCCCAGACCCAGGTGTCATAACTTAGGAAGGACGCTGATTTTAAAAGAATCCCTATATATAGGCCTGGCATAGGTATGTTTCCAAGAAGTTTTTTTTTTCCCCAACTTTTGCCATTCAATGCAGATCTGATTCACTACCTGAACTGCTTGACTCAGCTCCCTGCCTTTTCTTTAATTTCTGCCACCCACCTAGCACTGTATCAACCCACCATACTGTCTTTTTAATTAAAAATATTGTATCAGCTTGCATAAGTATTTATTTAACTCATGCAAACAGCCTTGTTAATTTAAACATGGTAACCTGCAGGTGAAGTTAATTCTGTACTAAGGTCTTCATCAAAGCAAAGCCCAGAGTTTTATATACAAAAGAATTTAAGTGTGTTCAATAGTTGGTAGAGAAGGGAGGTTAAACAGCACCATACTTTGCAGTTGGTGACCCTATTACAGCTGAATACATTAAAGTTGAGTCTTTTGTCATTTTGCTTCATCAGCTTCATCTCAGCTTTAATGACCATGTGGCCAGGGCCATCCTGAGAACAAGGCTAGCTTCCTGGAAAGTGTTGAAGGGTGTCAGTGGTTAAGGAAACACTGAAATGTTCCTGTTGCCTCGGGGAAGGAATGATCTGGGACTGTTTTCTTATATAGTAAATAAGCAGAATGTGATTTCTCGTGCGAGAGATGCTTTCCCTTGTGCAGGGTCATGTTAGTTTTGACTTGCCCAGCTGAAGCACGTATGAAGTTGATTAAGCTGCACACTAAATTTTGGAATGCTCTCAAAGAAAAGAATGAGGAATTCAGTATAGTAAAGTGCTTATCAGAAGTTTTATTTATACTGTTTATGTAGGAAGATGCATTATTTCCTGCAGTTCATTCATAATGATGTTGTTAAATTAATAATACAAATTCAAATTTCTTTTCTGGATTTTGCTGTAACTGAAATAGCCCAGGAGCAAACTTTGATAACCACCTCCAAAGAGGCTCTTTCAGAAGCCCATTTCCACAGTGGAAAGGCACAACTTCTAGACATAGCAGAACAGGAGGAGGAAGGTGTACAGGGCACCCCTGACTCTTTAGAAATACACTGAGGTAATTTGCATCCACAAAGAGCTCACAAGATCTTGAACAGTTATTACATTATCCTCCTACTCACAAACCTCCATCAGAGCTGTTGTATTAGGCTCAGTACAAATGCACAGAGAGGTTTGAAAGTTTAAGGGTAGTCCTGAATGTAGAAGATTATTTTTCCCTACTTCCTATCTACACCTTTATAAGTACTACGACCATCATGTTTGAGGTGGGGTGGGATGTTGCTTTTTTTTTTGTTTGTTTGTTTTAGATGTTTCACTGGAGTCTCCAGAGGTATGCACTGTGATTTTTCTTAATGCGTTTACAACTGACACTTTCATCAGTGCTTTTTCCATCTGCTTCAATTAAAAAGCAAGCAACCAGTTATTGTTTAAATAGTCTTAATCCCACTACAACACTGTGTTTGCATGGAGCGCCTTGGTGGTAACACCACCAGATCTCCAGCTGTCGGCATTGACATGTTCGGGGAGATCAGAGCAGGATTGAAGGTGTAAGCAAACAGAAAACAGAGGCTTTAAATAACATCTTGGGCCTAGGATACTTTACAGATTTGAAGGGCCTTGTGCTGGTCATCTGTGGACTAGATTCCCTTCCAGGTGAATGCCTAGACTGAACATGTCTAGATCCAGACTTGTACATCCAAAGAATATTGGCACAATCCAAGCTCAGCTGTTAAACGCTCACCCAGGCTTGCTCAATGTGGGGATTTCCCATGCCATTTCAACTTCAGGAGACATCTAGAGCAGTGTCCCATCTCAGAAAATAGCCAGATGTCCTGAGTAATTATATCTAGCTCCCTAGAGAGAGGTGGAATATCTTCCTAACCTCCCTGTGATTAACTGAGTTGCCCAGTTTGTAAAAGGCTGCACGAAATAAAGAATGAATAGGCAGAACAAAGGCAAAGAGTGAAAGCAAAAGCTGTTGGAGACAATCTACATGTCCACAGGGAGCACATTTGGGACAGTAAGGAAGAGAGAGAAAGGACAGGAAAAAAAAGAAACAGGAAGGAGCAAAGGAAAACCAGGGAAGAGAAAGGAGCTGAATAAATGTCAGGGAACCTTGCAGCAGGGCTTGAGGTCTACCAGGGTCTAAACAGGTAAAGAAGATGGTGAAAAGCCAGCAGAGTCTGTCAGAGGAAGAAGAAGGTAGGAAGGGATGCTGAGAAGACAGTAGTATGGGCACAGCAGCATCCAGTTATGTTTGGGTGGCAAAGAGCAGAGGATGAGAAGAAAAAGGGCTAAAAAGCAAGGGGAAGGTGGTTACGCTTTTTAGTTCTTTGTTCCAGCCATCATGTATTGTATCTTGAAAAGATGAGAAATTGTGAAATTTAAAATATTTTATTTATTTTGCGTAGTAGGTATGAGGTATTATCTCTGAAGCCCAACATGTGAAATACGCCACAAAACATACATTAAATAAAAACACTGAGGCAGAGAGAAGATACTTCTCATCACAAACACTATTATGGCACTTAATCCATCTAGGAGACAAGAAGTCTCTGCTTTCTGTCAGAGGCATTTTTAGTAAAACAGGTTAATGAAGGACCAAGGTAGTCAAAATACGATGCAACTGTTTTTAAAATAGCCGTGGAAAAAGGCACCTTGGATAACATGCACTGGTGACTATCAGGTATTGCCTCCAGAGAGCATCACAGTGACAGAAAGGAATTGCCCCAGACTACTTCCTCCATTTCACAGATAATTACAGGGCTCATATTAGATTATCAGCAAAAATAAACACCTTTTGAAAATATCAGCTAAAACAATAGCACTGCTGATCAAGCAGAAAATAAGTAAACAATAGCTCTAATCCACCAAAAACAAATCCTGACGGATACATGGGACATGGCGTGACACTAACCAGAGCTGACTTATTTTCTCAAGGGTTAGGTTTGAATTCTATTTTGTTATAAGAGATTAGAGCTGAAGAATGTGAAATCTTCCATGGCATCCCAGCTATCAAAAACCATTGGCCTCTGAGGTCCGTATGTGCTTCTTGTCAGTCCAGGCTCCTTTGACAAGGCTTGGGCCATCGTTCTAACTGCCCAGACAGCAAGATAAACAGATCACTTCTACTCAGGCTTTGTAATAGTTAGAATGA